AAAATATCCAGCAATGGCTTGATCTTCTTCCCAAAATATTCAGCAATGGCTTAATCTTCCCAAAAATATCCAGCAATGGCTTGATCTTCTTCGCTCAAGGTGCTGGAAATTCAATTTACCCCTTGGATATTTGCTCTTTGTGGTTTCCAACCCATCATTTTCTCTGGCAGAGGGTGTTAATCCCTCTGATTCCTGCACTTTAAACCTCACTTCCTCCCTGTGCAGCTCCAAATTGATTCCTAATTGAAGGTAATTATCAAATTTCTAATTATCACGTGACGGTCTCTGCACTCACCCGTGCCGAGGTTTAAGAAATCAATTAAAATAATAAATTTAATTAATTTTTTATTAGAGATTTAATAAATAAATTAATAAACAAAACCTTGTGCAGGTTTTAATACTTTTGTTTTATTTCTAGATCTTTCTTGTGTCAGTCACATGCCTTATTTGCTAGAGCTGGACGCTTCCCACAACGAACTGACCGAGTGTTTCGGGTTCAAACCACCGAAAAACCTCAAGGTAAGGTGGCAAAAAAAAAGTGCCTTTTAGGGGTTTAAATTCCAAATAAATTCCCTGCTATTATTTGGGCAGAGGCAAAAATCAAAAAAATTAAATTCCTGTTTCTTTTTTTTTTTCGCCTCAGGAAGCGGATTTTTCGTACAATCAAATCTCTAAAATGCAAGATTTGTCAGCATACCAGTCCCTTACTAAGCTCTTCCTGGATTGTATCCTTTCTAGAAGCTTGAGCTGGAGAAAAGTGGCTTGTTTGCTTCCTGAACAGCTGCTTCCTTCCAAAAAAATACCTTTTTTTTTTGTGGTTTTCATATCAGTTTGGGCCTCAGAAATAAGATTTAATCTCGTAATTCAGCTTCAATCGGAGAGAGACTGATCTGAATTTATTTAGGATAAACAATAGGGTATTATTTCAAAAATATATATCAAAAACCTCCTCTTTGTAGGATGGAGAAGTGAAAAGTGACTTGTTCCCCTGTGTGTGCAGAGGGAATAAAT